AAAAGTAACTCATTTAGCATTCAGTCAGAACAAAGGAAGAAAACGAGATTTCACTTAGCCCCACTGATGACGTGTTTTTACTTGTTGATGGTGTTAGAGCCTCATTTGCTTCTGGCTACTCTCCAACACTACCTGCCCTTCCTGCCTGTTGCCATTTGTCCTAATGTAGATCACACTTGAGAGGGTTATTTTTTTCTTTCAATGTGGAATTTTAGTTTCCTGTTTAGAAAAACAAAAACAGTGCCTGCCAGCAATGAAATATTTGAAGTTCTGTCCAGCAACAGAGATTTGGGGATGACAAAATCAGCAGCTATAACAATGCATATTTTAACAGCATTTTACCATTGTTTCAGCAAACATATTTTATAAATAAATTACACTTGTGTTTATTAATTTTTAAAAGCCCTTGTTCTCAAAAAAAAAAAAAGCTTGACATAGAGAAGTATTTTCCCCTTTTAACAATTGCCTCTTTATGGCTTTCATGGAGGAAAAAAACCAAAGAAGCTACAAAGCTAAAACTGTTCAGCATTTATGAGAAGGGGATAATGATCGTGTCTTTGTTACAGAGTTACTGAGGATTAAATGAGATAATCCACAGTAAGTGTTAGAACAAGGCCTGACAGTCATTGCACAATATAAGTTATAATCATTATCATCATTCCCATCAACATCTGTGGGAATAAGCTCAGAATGTCCTTATTTTTCCATTAAAATTTCCTCCACAGATTCTTTTCTAAGTGCAGCAGTAACATATTCAGTCTGTAGGAAAGACAACGCAAATGTTTCATGGCTTCACCCTGTTTTCTGACATTTATCAGTTTACATATTGATCTGATGAAACATCTGGCATTTATTATTTAAAAGAAGAAACTAAATAAAGATTTTAAATGTCAAACACAACCATGGAATACAGGTTAAACATCTGTGGCGAGCATTCCACAGATAAAGCAATATTCTTTTCAGTTTGGCTTCCATCTGGCCAGTTGTACCTGACAGCTGATCTTTGGGTTTGTAGAATGCAGTCTTGGGGAGAGCTGAAATAGGTGCCTTCCTAGGACCCTGTGTTGTTGTTTCGTGGTAGTTCAGATAAATGCTAGTGAGGGGAGAACCTTAAACTTTGGGTGGATAATCACCCAGGTATCTAGTCACCAAGTAAAATTTTTCAAAGCTCTTCACCTTACAAGGATCCTGACAAGCCAATGACATTTCTAAAACTTACTATTACCATTTAAAGAAGGTTATATCTCAGTATCTTTCAGAATTTGATGTCAGAAACTGATAAAGGATGTGGGAAATAAAAATTAAATTCACATCAATGAAGAAAAGGATAAACAAACCTTTTGGGAAATGTGATTATTTACTTTGTCATTCCTGGCCTGGTTTCTGCAGGCATGTGTAGCATTAATATGAGAGCAAGGAATTTGCTTCTAAACATAGGCTGCTGGGTACACCCAGAGTGACCCATTAACCCCGCTGTTCTGGAAATGCCCCACTTTGTGAGATGTGCCATGTTTCCCGTTTTAAACAACTCAATAGATACTTGCATCTTATATTTTAAATTAGAACAAAACAAATAATGATGTTACTTTTGCACACTGGGGACAGAGGCTACACTGCCAACGGTTATCATTAATGAGGCAACTGCAACCCATTCAGGGTCTCCGAGTTCCTTCCCTGAGCCACTCCAGCCCTGTCCCCAACTTCTTGTCTTATCATTGAAAGGGGGTCATAAAAACCCAAGGCCTGGGCTCTAATCCTGGTCTCTTGATACTGCTAACAACCAATAGCCCAATGAGTTAAGAAAAGACAACCAAGTTGTGCATCCTAGCTTGTTTTGCAATATGCCATCTTCTGGTCTCAGATGAATTTACCTCTCTCAAATACTCCCAGTTGGAACAATATCTTTAACTTCACTGAGACAATGGTCTAAAGCAGGCGTCCCCAAACTACGGCCCGCGGGCCACATGTGGCCCCCTGGCCACATGTGGCCCCCTGAGGCCATTTATCTGGCCCCCCGCCGCACTTCAGGAAGGGGCACCTCTTTCATTGGTGGTCAGTGAGAAAAGCACAGTATGTGGCAGCCCTCCAACGGTCTGAGGGACAGTGAACTGGCCCCCTGTGTAAAAAGTTTGGGGATGCCTGGTCTAAAGGACTAAAATATCCATGTTACTGGCAGCCACATAGGAAGAGAATATTATCATAAGTAGTTGCTTAAATAATGCTGCTTATGGTGAACACTTAAAATAGGGTCTTTATATAAAACAAGAGTTCAATAAATACTTGTTGAATAAATGAATGAAACAAACATTTGATTTTAAAATTGATGAACTGCTAAATGTTTGTATAAATCTCTGTATACCTTGACCAGAATGAAATCTTTACAAGGTCAAATTCAATTATGAGCCATATAAGGATACAATGATGTCATGATCTTTTTCTGTTATATAGTTTCCCAAGAAGGCCACATTTGAATGAACATGATAAAAAATGCACCAACTGAATCAAATTAAATTATACAAGATTAAGTTTTATAGCTTTAATTAGCCATTCAATAACTTTTTAGAAGTCTATCTCCTCCAAAAAAGAGTCATTTTTAAAGATAAAAACAAAACAAAAATGAAAAGTTTATCTAAGAAAAATGTATGCACATATCCTGGGGAAAATACAACTTTGCCTTGGGATATTGAGATTTTTCTAGAAATGCAAAGGTCTGCAGCTCCACCTCTCATCCTGTTGCACCTTGACTTTTACCTGGCATTACCCTTTGACTTAGACTCTTTGCTAAATAAATGAGCATACACTAGGATGTAAAGTCTTATTCTGAAATAAATATATATATATATATATATATATATATATTATTCTGTCCCCATTGACAGAAAAGAGTAAAGAAGGCGTGCTTCAAGAGCCAAACTCTGATTCAGCTCTGACAAACTACCTTTCTCATCTTAAATATCCTTTCCTCAGTGACTCAGAGCTTTTATTCTCTTTACAGCACTACTAATTAGGAAGTTACTAATAAGAAAAACTAGCAAATCTTTATGACTGCAATTTCTACCACCCTTTTGCTGTATCCCGGGGGACTGTATGTCCACTTTAAACAGAAAAGGCTAAAGCAATTGTTAGGAAGTTTCAAGGAGGAACCTCCTCTCGAGCACACACTTTGATTAAAATCATTTCAGACCCAAATGATCTCAGTACCTGCTTCAGGGTTCGCAGTCAATGTCCAGGTGTAAGCCTGTCTTTGTGGACAGGCCGCCTAGGCTGGTCTGCTAGAAGCTGGCAATAGGACAGCAATATAAAAATTGTGAATGCGCCCACATGCCTGGAAAATTAGAGTATCCAATTTTCTATTTGTTAAGCAGAAAATATTTTCTAACCAAATTTGATGGAATATACATGCCAACAATTTCTCTTAATAATAGAGGATTAACAGATTTAAATGGAGCAGAATGCTAGAAGAGTATTTTGGTGTAAAGGTTACTGTCACATTCAGTGGAAGTTTGGGATCAGATAGCAAAGCCATCAGGGTGGCAAGAGAGATCATTGTTACAGAAACCCTTCTCATGCCAGATATCAAGGGAGGCGGGAAGCCTTCTCATCTTCCCCCGTTCTGAAGCTCATGAGAACTGAGTGGGTACATTGTGTTCAACTGTGCAATGTGGCAAATGGCTGAGCTGGATTTTTATACCAAATAAAACATATACTAAAAACCTACAGGTGATTCCCTATTATTTTCAAGAAGTTGGAGTAAATGTTTCAACCTCAATAAATGGAACAGCTTACTCATCTGTAGAATGATCTGTCCTTTTCTTACAGGTTTCAGGTTAATATGGCTACATTTCATTCACCCTTCCTGATGACACACATTGTTGGTAAACGCCTCCAGCACTTAGGGCAGGTAATTGTAAAACCAGAACACATTCCTAACTACCAGAGAGAATAGTTTCAATCAGCTACTGCTATACAGCAGCAAAGATTCCTTACTACTTTCATGACCAGGAGATAGTAAGAACTGGAGGAAAATTCTAGGTGAATGGCTTGAGATTGGGCAAAAGAGGTCAGAATTGGCCATATTTCTCTTTATGGCCCAGGGTCCTAGAGATTATTATTATTGTTATGTGTGTGTGTGTATATATATATACCCACATATATAAATAACTATAAACACTTATTAATGAGGCTCTGTTGAATTCCATTTAAAATGTGGTAGCTGGGGTGCTAAGGAATAGAGAAGCAAAATTAAAAGGAAAGAGATTTTCTGAGAGTCAGAGGCATAATAATAGATTAAACTAAACCATGCAGTATCCTTTTAGTAGTGAGTTCAGTTATGTATCTCATTTTTATTGAGGGAAGACAATGGGAAAGCTCAAAGACAAGGAGTTCCTTAAAAGACTATGTCCTGATATCAAGTGATGATGCAACTTACAAACAGAAATTGTTGCTATTAAACACTCTAGATAAAACTGAACAGTTTTTATCTAAACTGGCCATTGAGGTAGACAGTCTCTGAGATGCTGCCGGGAGCTCTCAGTGTTTCCCAGCATAGATCCTTTCATTAAATGTGACCCAATTTCATTGAGCACCACTGCTGGACTACCAACAAGCTAGCTAAAATTAAACTCACTTTCTAAGCACTCAAAGAATAGTGAAATTGTATACAAAATTCTTTCTCTTTCAATTAATCAATTTCGAGAAAAGAAAAGGTAATTCCACTGATAAAATCAGTTGCTCCTGGGCTATCTCTTCTAACTACAACCTTCTCCATGGTTCCTCCTCTCAAAGTCTCCTTGTCTGGGCTATTTTCACCTGTATTTGTAGAAATCCTCCCCCGACACTCAGGAGAGAGGAAAGGGGGCTCTTGGGGTTCATCCGTATGAGGAAGAAAGATAAAACTGCTGAAAGGTCCTTGACAATGGGATTTGGCACTATTTTTGTTCACATGATCAACACTTTCACAGAAACAACTAAAAAAATTACATGAAGCCTAACACCTTATCTCCAGCCTTAAATCAAATAACTTTATTTTTGTTTTCTTTTTTTTTTAAGCTAAAATGTTGAAAACAAACTTTTCTCAGCGAGCTGCTTCAGAACAATATAATGTATTATGAAGCTCCGTACATCTTACATGTTCTTGCAATCTTGATAGGACAAAATAAGTCCTCAACTTTTTCCTTTGAATTTTGAAACTGAAACCATGTACTTCCTTTTCCAGACTCTCCTGCATCAAGCCCGGGTTGTTTGGAAGAAACCGTGTAAAAAGTGCATGAGAAGTGAGCGTGGAAGACACGGAAATGGGATGCGTCTGGGGCTGAAGGTGGCACTGACTCCGCGAAGGCTCTTGCTCTGCTTCCGTGGTCCCCGCTGGGGCAGCCAGTGTCAGGCCAGGTCAAACCAACACAGCAGAAGGAAAGGCTGTACAACGGGTCCCCATGAAACATGCTACTAAAAAAAAGGTGCAACGAGAACCAAGTCCCTGTGCATTCTTAGTCACAATGGTGGGCAGAAGAACCCATATGATTCCTCCCTTTGGTATTAAATAACAGTTTTTAAAAAGCTTTTTAGAAACAAAGCAAAATACATGGTGGGACTGGAAATGTTAGCCATCCCAGGTTAGTTGTCCACCAAAATACGTCTCATCTCTAGTCATAAATAAATAATCTCTTTCCTGGTCTAACTTCCATGCCAGAATCAATATCTCTTAACATCTTACTTATTTTATTACTGCTTTTGGTTTTCTGGGACTGATTGAAAGTTGCTCAGAGGAAATCTTTGGTTTTGCTTAAGTGTCCATGACATTTAATCATGACTTTCCTTGCAGTTTAATTCCAACCAGTCAATCAGTTAATCCACTTCGATTGATTCTGGGCTCTCGGTTATTGGCTTGCACTCATTGGGCATCCGCTGGTGTCGGCTCAGCTGGGTGGCCTGCGTGAAGCTCCTCTCACACCTCTCGCACCTGGTGGAGGCAAGAGAGAAAATTGAGACCAGGGAGCTGGGCCTGCAGGGTGATGGGCTTCCTCTCATCCTGCCTAATCAGAACAGACACTCCAAAGTGGCTTCAGATTTTACCGGCTCAAGAGGTTTAATTGGTGGCTCCTTCCAAGGCCTGGATGCCTGTGATGGGACAAAGCCCGTCTGACGCAGAACAGAGGGATCTGTCAATAGGCAGGGGGAAGGTGATTTCTCCAGAGAGCCCTGTCCTGCTGCAGCTCTGATCACTGTCAGTTCAAATAGATAAAGAACAAAAAGAGATTTTTAGGAGTGAGCCATCAAAGGAGCAGCTTGTCTGCAGTTTTCTGCTCTGTAACCCCAAAGAGAAATTGATGACAAATAGAATTTCACCTACCGCTAATTTACAATCAGGAATTCTACTCCCCTTAGAACAGCGGCCAAAGAATGAACATCTTGGAATTTGGAAACTAGAGAAAGCAGTATGTTAGATTGCAGTGACTGTGAGGGGCAGTAAGCATGGTGGCTGCTTTTTTTGCAAAAGCTGGTTACAATGTCACAGCCCAACCAAACTTAGGGTTAAAATAATTCATAAAACTAGAGTTTGCAGTGGCACAGGTGACGGAATTATACATATGGGCTAGAATTAAGGGCAGTGTGTCCGATGAGGAGAAAATGTCACACTTCAAGATTTATCTCTACTTAACTTAAAGGAGAAACAAACAAACAAAGACTGTAATCTGGAGACCCTGAGTCCCTCCCTATCTCCCATGCCCATATCTTCCAAACAACCTTCCCTGACTAGCTTGGTGGCTACTCAATCTACAAAAAGCAGAACACACACTCAGAATCTAATGGGAGCCTGTTGTTCTTCTGTGGATGTTGTCCCTGGCTGCATGTCTGTGATTGTGTGTGTATATACACACACCCACAGATGAACTGTGGCAGCTGGCTGGGCACAGACAGTGACTGCTCCATCACTACCTCACTTACCTGGGCTGCCCAGAGCACTGGCCCAGCATCTAATACAGCTCAAAAGCCATCTTAGCCAACCCTAATGCCCTTTCCTCAAATCTTTGAAAGAAAAGGTATTTAAGAAGAACTACACATAATTGTCTCACTTTTAAATAATGCAACCTCCAGTTTGTGAGCCCCTGCTCTATGAAAGCTGTGGCAAAAGCCACCATGACATAGTAAGCGTGCCTTAACACAGACAAGAAGGCCACAAGCCCTGTTATCTGTTAGGCATTTCTCTCTTTCTCCTCTTTAGCACATTTTATTGAATACCCTGTCATGGAAATAAGTACCTATAAAATAGGACACATCCATCCACTCTGGGAATTCTTGCATGTTTTTGGACCTGAGGAGGCAGGAGCTTGACTTCGCATTTGGATTTTTCAGGCTCCTGTACCAGCGGAGTGTGTCAAGGGGAAGAAGTTGTGTTTCTTGGATTGTCTTTCAGGGAATATTTTTAGCAGCCAGTTCCACTGTTAAAAACTGCACTGTGATCTTGACAAATGTATAATGTCAGCTTTAATGTATCAGACCTATCAGCTCAATGAAAATAACTCAGAAGTATTGATCACCTAATGATTTTTGGTGTATTCATTAACGTCCGTGGGCAGCTCATCCCCTCTCCAGAGCTCCTGGAGTGCTGATGACATGTTAGCGAACTGCTGATTGTTTATTAGAAAACTGATTAGTTACTGGATTAGTGTGTCAAAATATACTACCTTTCACTGCTTGACAAACTTTCAAATTATTATATTCCTTTTTTTATTATCTTGAAGCTCTAGAATCAATTTCAAAGAGAGTAGAATATCTTGAACAATTGTGAGGAATGAAAATGTGCCCAGGTCACGGTTTTACATTTCTAATCTTGTGTATTAGAATATGAGGAATACATGAGTTGGTAGCTTAGTACTTCCTGTTAGGCAAAAGTGTATGTCTGTGTATAACATTTAAACATCCAGATCAGAAGGAGACATTAAGAGGAGAGTTACATTTTTCTCAAGTGTTTGCCTAAATGTACTGCAGATATTTACACACATGGAACAATTTGTTGTAACAGTCAGAAAATTTGTCCAATATATAGGGTAAGAAGAGTATTCCAGAAAAATCATTTCTAGAGCCATCTGCGCACCAAGTGTGAGTTAAAAATACAAGCAGATATGTAGAAATTACCTTAATTTATTTTTTCTCAGGGATTTCTCCTTCTTGAGGAAAGAAGGCTACTAGAAATAATATCTACGTGGTTTGGGAATGACAAGAATACAATTTATATATTTGAGGAAGTAAGAGCTAGATATAAAAATACTTTTTTTTAAATAAGGGAAGGACTTTAGTTTTATGTTCATCATCTTACATTTTAGAGAAGTCTCTTCCACAAAATATTTTCATAGTTTAATCAGCACAAGGACAGAAGTCAGAGCCAGACTTCACTTGGTTGGCATCTAAACTAACCCCGAATTACAATCCCAGATGACTGACTGGCAGGGGCATCTCTAAGCCTGGACTTCGTGCAGTGTAACAGAATAAGGAAAGAAAGATGCAGGTAATATGTCACAGGGGAGAATTGCCCTTGCACTCAGGGCCTTCATTGTGCCTTCCTTAGCGTAGGTGCTAATGCCACAGCCTTCAGGTGAGCATCTCAGGAAGATGAAGTGGAAAGTCTACCAAGTATTTCAGCAAAAAGAAATTCCTCAGCTTTCTATTATACCATAGTAAGCATCATAGACTTACTTATTTCTAAGGCTTGAGATCCTTCTTTACTTACTATGATGGTTGACTGGATTACATCTACAAGGAGCTTAACAAAGTATGTAAAGTTCTGTTACTACGGAAAACCTGCGAAAAGTTTTCTGTGCCTCTATATGTCACAAAATACTTTTTGAATTGAACCAAATTGCACAGGGCTTTGCATGTGTGATATGTTCAATACATATTTACTGATTTGCTTCTTGGATTTGCTTTAATTTTGCCTAGTTCTTGTTCAAATATTAGACGTCCTTCAGAATTTCCCTTGATTTTTTTTTCAAAAACTCTGTTTTTATTTTTTAATGCAGCAAGAACATAGCAATGAATGATTCTCCCTGCTTCTAACAATAATGAAAAACTCCTCCTAAGGAAAATCCTGGCCTGTTCTCAGCTTCCCAGATTCAGAAAGCCAGGCATCAGGCAGCTCACACAGATCCTCTCAGGCAGAGCAGAGCAGCCCACTGAAATCTCAAGACAAGGAGTCCTTGCTGCAAATAATCATTTTTAGATTGCCAACTCTCTTCCTTACTTCCTTCTTTCCTGCCTGCCTGCCTGCAATAAAATGCTCGGCCATTGCTGTTAAATGATATCTTGCTTTGCTCCTTGATTTCCATGACTTCCAGTATCACAGAGCAAACAAAGCCAAGACCTTCCATATGATCCTCTGATTTTTATTTTTCATACATGCTCCTTTGTCTTAGAAATCCTAAGTCCACAGCCTAGGGTAGCTGCTGACAGGCCCATCATCTACCCAGAACTTGGGAGATGGATTCTTTCCTTGGAATTTCAGCCAATCAGATATGAGGCAAAGCCTGGATTGAAACTCTGACCGCTTCACGCCAAATCTTCTCCAGCCTTCTTTGGATTGCAGTAATCTTGATATGCCTTCAAAAACCACTTCTCAGCAGAAGATTTTAGAAGTTGGAAAGGGCTTTCTCTGACGTGGCAGGCCCAATCGCAGCTCACCCCTGAGAATTCCGTAAAGGCCTTCTGAGCCCAAGACATACAGTTGAGGGTTGTGTGCCTTTACAAGATTCTTCTCCTTCTTTGAAACATTGTTTAAGCCAATACCCATTAGTTGAAGTAGTAAAATTAACTGTTGTAGAGAAACTCATTTTATTGACTAATCTTCGAGGAAACGGTTTTTTTGCATGTTTGTTTTATAAGCTTATAAAAGGATATCTTCATAATATTTACAAATATCCATAGGATGAATATCCATGAGCCATGCTTGGAAGATTCCCAAAATTCCCTTGGGATAGATCAATTCTAAAAGACCTGGTTGGATACACTAAAGGATTTAACGTGCCATTTCCTAGAGGATGTTTAAATCTTGCACTTTCCAAATAAGCATACATTCAGTTCTCCCCTGGAAATAGCTATTTGAAAATTTTTTTAAAATTACAGCAGGTGGCTGTCTAGATAAGAGGAGGAACAGAAGGAACTAAAACATATACATGGAATTTAAGCCAACAACCTTGGTTGTTTCTTTTTTCTTCCAGATGTAAGTAAGTATGATTACAAAATTTATTTTTGGAATGAGAAAAATACAATCATCAAAGCGCTTCAAATATTATCTGATGAATTAAAATTAAGTTAAAATGGCAACTCTATTGGAAACATGACAAAAACAGATGTTAAAGGAAAAAAATTGAGTGGAGTCAACAGGGTTACACGTAAGTAACACCTTAACATTAATAGAAATCTATTTCTCATTTTGACCCTGAAACCTCTTCAATTAATTACTAAAATCTATTTACACAGCAACAAGATAAAAATCAATCTGATTCTTGGCACTGTATTTGTCTGGCTGCCCTTTCTAATATAAGGGGCCAGAAGGATCCTGAACCCTCCTGTACCTCTGCTTTTGAAAAGCTCTCTTACTCAAAGGCACAGACAATGTGCCATTCACTGCCAGCGTCCTCCTCCATAGCAGTGATGAAGCCAGAATCTGGGAACCCTCCAGGACTCAGGCCAGAGGGCGATAACAAAGTACACTAGGCAGCATATAAGCACTGTTGATTGGGAACTCCTAGGACTGTGGTAGTCCATGCAGCCTTTTAGGGCGGATTCTAAAAGGATGCCCTCTTTGGGCTACTGCAGCCTCAGTGGGCACAGCATGGTTGGCATAGCACAGACTGGATTTCAGACCCCATCCTGCCCCCTTAGCCAGATGCTCTTATGCAGTGAACAAGCTGCGCCTATGTACAGCAACAAAAATGATCACTATTTTGATTATTAATACCATAAATTAAACCATGTTGGAGAATAGTTGAGAATGCTAAATAAAGTATCTAATTCTTGAGGAGAAGAGGGAAAATGACTGTCTTTGATGAGTTTCTCCCTTCACTGGCAGCCAGAGAGGTAGGCAGGACCCAGAACACAGGACTCTGTTTCCCAAGCTGAGCCTGGCCTCAGGCTGAGCACAACAGTGTGCCACAACAGCAGGTCTGGACGGAAAATCCTGGGTAACGAGGCTCTGGGAAGGCTTCTTGGCTGAGACTGAGCAAGGGGATTCGTCTCCTACTACCTGAATCATTTCCTCTCTTGCTTGATCTTGTCCTACAGAAGGTAAATAAGGGAGTAACTCTATGCTCTTTTAATTCTACTTCTCAAACAGAAAAAACCAGTAGAGCAAATGTGTGAAGAGAGCTGTAATAGGGTTGAACTGAAAAGAATTCATCACACAGACTGTAAAAACTGCCCTGAGACCACTGATCAAGCACACATGCTGACTCACACTCTCAGACCTTTCCATGTGCTATTTGAACTGCCAGAAATTACCTTCACCCACCACCCATATGTCTAGAAAGCTCCTCCTCATCCTTCAAAACATATCTGAAACACCATCTCTGTCAGATAGCATTGATTCCTCTATTTCGGTGCTACTCTGAAACATCATACATACATGACTTACTGTTGTACTGTTCATCCTATAATTCATTTATTAATTGGGCTTCCCTTTAGACTATGAGGTTTTCAAAGATGGAGGAGGGGAGAAGCAGCTAACCCTCATTCACCTTTATATCTCTTGTATCTAGCAGGGTGCCTAGCACAAAAGTACATACTCGGTAAATATCTGCTGAATGAATGAACACATATATAACTGAATGTGTAAATGAATGAATAAGTGAACAAGTGGATGAACAGACCACCTTGCATGACTCAGATGTCCACCATTTGGATGAGTGTGCCATGTGTAGAAACACACTCTCTTGCTCAGATGCCATTCCCTTGCCAAAGTCCTTAGAATTCAATTCCATCTCTTTCCACATTTCCCAAATCCTCAGATAGTCAATTTACTCTGGATTTGGCTTTTTCTTTTTTCACCAACATGGTAATTCTAAAGTCCAAAGTATACACTAAAAACTCACAAGTTGGCTGCTATAATAGGTTCAAACTCTTTAACATATAGAGAAGAGGATATATTTCATCAGAATCATGAAGGGTTCAAGTTCTCCAGGAAGGGATTATTCTGATGTTCTAAACTTGTGATCACCTTTCTGATTAAGGCTTACCGATGGCTACAGGAGCTCTATGTGGCTCCTAGATAAAATCCAGAAACATAGATCATCAGAGACCGAACAAATACTCAAATTATTTACACCTACCTCCTTATTTTAATGATGAGAAAACAGACCTAGAAGACTCATCTCAAGACCAAGGTTGGAAACTTGAGTGAGGACCAGTGTATAGGTTTCCTTACTTTATTTTTCAAATGTCAGACACTACACAAGGAAATTTGTTTACAGCCTGGACATTGGCCTTCCAAGTAGCCTTTGCCAGCTGGCTAAGCCGGGCAGCACTGTGCTGATGCATCTGGGAAAGGCTAAGAGAAAGAGAGGGTGGAGGGCTAGCCGCTACTTACTTGAAGGGCTTTTCTCCAGTGTGGGTTCGGATGTGGTTGTTGAGGGTGGTGGCCCCGGCAAAGGCACGACCACAGTAGCCGCACTTGAAAGGCCGGTCACTAGAGTGAGTGACCACGTGGTTCCTCAGCTCTGAAGGTTGGGAAAAGGACTGGGAGCAGTGGCCGCATTGGTAGGGTCTGAAACAAATAAACAGACTGCCTGGTCATTATTTTCTGCGTTGCTCAGTGGAAGTCAGAATCATATATATGACAAGGGGCCAAAACTTCTTGGTGACATTTTCTCAGTTTCTAAGACACAGCATAGAACTTTGGCCGCTGGATTCCCACTATTTTACTTGTTGCCACAGGAACAAAATTCACAGAGCTGCAGAGACACATCAATTCCCAAATGAATATCCCTTTCCAGTACTAATCATACCATTTTGGAAATCTCTGCTTTCTTATTTTTGTCTTCCCTCAGGCAAATGTTAGGGCACTTTTGTAAGCAGTGAAAGTACATACTTCATTAAGCAGAATGTTACAAGAGAAAATATATAATTGTCTCTTATGCTTCCATGGCATTTTTATCTTTTCAATGTGCTTTAAAATCAGTTACCCAGTTTAATCTTTACGATAATCCTCTGGGACAGAGAAAGCAGTTGCTATTATCTGTCAGTTCAGAAAACTGAGGATAAACTGTCCTCCCAGGACATAAGCTCTTGATACTGAGGTCATTCTAAGATGTTCGGACGTTATCCTCAGTACCAGGTAAACACGTAAACACGCAGGCAAGTCAGCAAGTTACACGTGTGTTTTAATAGATATTAAACTGTGGTGGACTTATAGCATAATCACTGGTTTTGCACAGATGTGTCTCTTGTCAAAGAAATCCTGACTTCTACCTACTATTTACCCCTCCAAATATTTACCCATCAGATCTTTCTCTTGAACATCACCTCCCTAGTTTAATCTGGCAGCAAAGCATGATTTATAGCAGCACAGAAATGATGGGATGTCACTATGCTTGCGGAAGGATGACTCTGGTGCAAAAGCAAATGGAAGGAAGTGGTGACAAATACCTGATAATTAGCAAGATTATCAGAGCACATTCTTCCCAGCTCATGAGAAGTAAATCAATTTTTGGTTTTCATAAAATAGATTAAAATTCTGTCTTCTCTACAGTTCTTCTGCTTACTTAAGCAGAATGTGATGAGTGATATAAAACCCAGGGAGTTTTCCCTATTCGAAGCTATTTCATATCATTCCTTGACAGGGTTCTAATTTGTTTATCAAAATTTTTGTTCAGATAATTAATAATCTGTCGTGAGGGATATTAACAGCATTCACTAAGCCCTGGCTTGTGGGCCAGACATTTCTGGCTGCATTTAGAAACCAGTGGCAAAAGCAGACTTAATTGCTCAACCTTTAACAAATGCATAAGCTCCAATGATCAGAAACCAAAATGAAGGGCCAGGAGACAATGGTGACCGAGCATGTACAACAATTCAATTAAGTGCAAAATAAAGTGTACCCTCTCATTTGTCAAGTGAACTGCTTAATTGTGGCTACTTGCCTCACTGAACACAAATACTATTATTTCACCAGGCTTCAGCACACTGAGCCCTGATTGTAGAATTTTTTAGCTTGATTAATAGCCCAGGATTGGTCAATAACTCAATACTATACAATTTTAATTACTTACATTTAGAAATCTATCTACCTGCTCTCAAACAAGTTTCAAAGAAATATATAAAAGTCTTTGGTAAGGAGTTTATCAATCTTGACAAATTACACATGCATTTTATGACAATTATAAAATAATCCTATGAAAGCCATTAAAATTATACATAGATGAAAATATCCTCCTGCCAAATCTGTTCTTTGTGGTAAACATTAACCTTAAAGGGTTCCTGAAAAAATAATTCTCTCAAGGTTGGATTTTTTAAAATGTTATTGGAGATTATAAACAAAATAATATATTAATATATGCTATATCCACTGACAATTGATTTTTCTGATAGTGAAGGGACCATTAACATTTATTAGCCTCTGGTTATCTATTTTTAATAGCTATCACAATAAACAATAAGCCACTAAATAAAACCAATTAATCTTTTCTTTTTTTTCTAACTCTGTTGTCAAAAGTTGGGGTGATTTATTTCTCACAGTCTGAAGTCAATCCATCCTTTTTATGTTAATAGTTCACGGTGGCAAAGATCTACACACAAGAGAGCAGAAATGACCACAGAGAGGCTTATTTTGAATTCTTATATCAAAGTAACACTAATGGAAGGCAAATCAGATTCTAAAACATCACCTTTGCCTGGAGCACCGGCCTAAGAGGCATGTGCTAGGGGTGCAGTGACCTACACGGCACAGTTTTTAAAACTTTGCAGAATTCTGTTGGAATGAATGGAAGGGCCTACAACAGTAGAGATGGGACCCCTGACTCTGTTCAGCTGTGGCATTTGGATAAGCATTCAACTTTTCTGTCCTGTTTTCTCATCTACCTGGTAAGGGGAGTGGACTGAAGATGCTGATCTCCTGCATCTCATCATGCTTGTTCTTGCTTTCAGGTGACCGACAAATGTGCATCACCCAAGAAATCTGTACAACACAGATTTCTTGCCTCCCAAGATACAGCAACACCAATACGATCTCTGTTCTCCATCACATCTACACGCTAGCTCCATATACATGGAGCTTTCTGTGGTTGTATGTGTGTATATATGCTCATTAGAATATGGAAAATTTAAACACATTGGTAAAAAGTTGAGAATTCAGAATAAGAAAATCTAGTACCAAAATACAGGACCAAACTTTGTTTTGGTTAATCTCAAAAGGCAAAACAATATTTCTTCATTGTTAGGTACATTGAAAAATAAGATTTTAGACTACCTGGTCACATTCACCTTTGCCAAGGCTGATTTTGTATAGAATTTAGAACCAAAGCATGTACCTCACCTGCCACTCTAATAGCAGTGCCTTTTTCAGCCTAGAAATCTATAGAAAGTTAGCCCATAGAAATTACAGAAGTCATACTGTAAGTAGACAAGATTCCTTTAAACCCTCTTTTCTTGTATTTTCAATATTTCCTTAAAAATATGAATAAAAGCAAATGATCAAAAAGTAATTTTAAAATCAATTATGTCCCCAGGGTTTCCTAAGGACACAGGAGCACATTCAAAAGTTAAATTTTCAGGCCCAACAGCAGAGCTTAGAAAACATTATCACTTTGGAATCTCAGGCATCACAACTTCTTTGGGGACAACTGGCCATAGGAGTTAAAACTATGTTTGCACGTTTCTATTAGCGCATCCTAACTCCACATCTCTTAATTTACAGCCAAAGGACCTTTGGGGCACAGAATTTGTTGTCATTACTCAGTTTTTTATTCTGACAACCAACATTCCCATTAATTTTCCAATGTCTGGCCAAAAAGTGAGAGTTACTTTATTATTAAACTTTCGGATATAATCAGTTCTGAAGTCCTGCCTTCCTTGATGTGTCATACTCAGAGACACTTGTAAGAACTGACATCCATGAGTGCTGGATTTAGCTGTACTATTCCCAGGATCTCATGACATTGAACAACTAAATGGGAATCTTTTTTATTTTTATTCTTTTCATTTTTTGAGACAGGGTCCTCACTCTGTCACCCAGTCTGGAGTACACTGGTATGATTTTGGCTCGCAGCAGCCTCAAACTCTTGGGCTCAAGCGATCCTTCTACCTCTCAGCCTCCTGAGTAACTGGGACAACAGGCATGTGCCATCATGCCCAGCTAATTTTTATATTTTTTGTAGAGATGGGGTGTCACCAGGTTGCCCAGGCTTGTCTCAAACTCCTGGGCTTAAGTTATACACCTGACTTGGCCTCCCAAAGTGCTGGGATTACAGGTGTAAGCCACTGTGCCCAGCCCCAAAATCTCCTTTTTAAAGCACTTTATTCTCTCCAAAGCATTTCATTCTTCTCAAAGGAAAGGCAATGAGCATGTCTCACAAAGTGATAGCATCTCATGACCACAAGTACCTTATGGCTTTTTTACCACTTAAGATCTTTAGTAGTACTGTCTAATGATGGAGCTGTTCTGTATCTGAGCTACCCAATACTGGAGCCACAAGCCACATGCAACTGCTGCACACTTGATGTGTGTTGAGTGCACCTGAGAAACTGAAGTACTATTTTACTTCATTCGGATTAATTTAAACGTAAACAGCTCTATATGGCTAGTTCCGACATACATATATCCAGCTTGATGAAAAAACAGAAAGGTGCTCCTTATATAAGAAAGAAATAACTAAAGAACAGAAACCACCTGGGTAGATTTGGGTAGTTGGCATATATCAATGCTGGTAAACGTTTAAGCAGAAAGAAGGCAGAGAGACAATCTTGTACATCCCCTGCTACTCCTGGTCACTGGCAGCTCCTTTGCCAAAGATAACTCCGGTAAAATGTGCAATTCATTTGCTTTGAATCTGTAATTGGTTTGGGGTACACATGGGAAAAGGATGAAACATTTAACAAAATTAAGTATGGTTTGGCTTAAAATTATTAATCCTGCTTTGATTTTTCTTCCATGGCCTCCAGGACAAAACGTGTTCAGTTGGGGCCACATTCTCTCTTTGCTCAACATCAGCCAGCCCAAGTGCAAATCTCCCAAGACTTCAAAGGGAGATTACTTAGGTCACTGCTGGCTGTGTGGAGTGAGAAAAGAACTTAGTTCTATGTAAGGAGAAAAATATTTCAGGATGGTGACAGAAGTGCAAGACCAAAGAGCCTGAAGAACATCAAAGCTAGAAAGGAGATAACCTTCACACTTGGGGCATGGGGAAAAAGCGGGACACAGAACACTGACACATTCTAAGCAACTATTATGTAGATGAATTCTCTCCAGGCCCCTCCTACCAGAAAGCCCCTGCTAATGTCATTCTACCCTCTGGTTCCACCACATTTCTTACAAATAATGATGCTTAAAACACAAACGTGAACAGGTGATGGTGTGCCCAGGCAGCTGAAAGCAGACTTGCTCTGTGCGGCACAGTCAAAAAGCAGAAAGGAAAAGAAAAGGGATACAAAATAAAAATCAGCATTATAAACAAACTTTCTGCAGAAAATAAAAGAGAACATATCTGTCAGAAAACAATCCACTGTCATTGAAGGCTTTGCTTACCCCTTTCTGGAGCATAGCCCCTGCCACCTTACTGCCCCAGTGGGAGTGTTGAGAGTTTCTGTAGAAAAAAAAGCCAGAAGAGAAAAGGGATTTCTAACTCCTGGTTTGAGCAAAAGCAAGAAAAGTTGCTTTGGCCTAGGCAATAAGCTGATGCAAAACCCAAATGTTTGTAAAGTGCCTGAACAAAATTTTGGTTGATCTAGATCTCAACAGCTTCCTCTCTTCGAATTTATTCAGGAAAAGAAAAAGTCAGTAACCTGGGAAAAAAGGAGGAAGAGATTTTCAGTTTTGTATAATATTAACAGAACAAAATCAAGAAATAATAATTCTGTGGCTCCTGGACCTTCATGGGTGTGTTTTTGTCTTTAGTATTGATTTCTACTTTGCCAAGTCAGACCGATTTTTTTTTTTTCCTGTGTTGAATGTGAATAACCCAGTGGTGAAAAATGATGAGGCTGGAATCCCTGAGCATGCATAGATTTCTTTCCTTTATATCAAGGCATAGACTTTTTGATGATACCTCACATGAAAAATCTCATGACTATACACATACAAAGTCTCTTGGATGGAGGTTCAAATATCTGGGGTTTCACGGCCAAATATTCATGGTCCATTGAGTGAAAAATCATTTGGACCTCAGATTCAAGGGCCTGTCTCAAATGTGAAACTCTAACCTATTTTACCTTCTGACTTTGTCTCCTTTGTCCCCCTTTCTTGCCTTTCTTATCCCTGGTTCTAGCAAGATTTTTCTATCAAAATAAAAGCTTTTGAGTTTTTCAAACAAGGGAAAATGCTTTCTAACTATTGAGCCTTTTCACTGTAAATGGCTGAATGGGTGAATACCGATAAAGACTAAAAGCCAGCTGATCTATGGAATCAATCACTAAAGAATATATGTATATAGGTTGAGCATCCCAAATTTGAAAATCCAAAATTTTAGGAGAAGCAACATGATGCTCAAAGGAAATGTTCATTGGTGCATTTCAGATTTCAGATTTTCAGATTTGGCATGCTAACCCAGTAAGTACAATGCTAACATCCCAAATCCAACACAACCCAAAATCAAAAACTCTTCTGATCCCAAGAATTTTGAATAAGGGATTCTCAACCTGTATTCAGCAGTTGTAATCCATGTGGATAATAACCATTAAAAGGTTCCAAATGCAGCTACTGTCATGAACACATTTGATGTTCTATTGTAGTTTTGAATATTTTTTCCATTTAGCGATTCACCCATGTGGTTAAGAAATTATGGAGAGTATCTTTTACCTCCAAACTTTGTGGTACAAACAGAGCATCCAGGGTTCTGGAACAGAAATGAGCCACTGTAGCCCTTTATACTAAAACTAATTCTGTATATAGAATGAAACTAGGGAGTCCAAGTGACTGGGTATATCCTTCTATTTCCCATGATCTTCAACAATCAACTCACATGTGATTATGTAATTCAAGCATCTCATTGTTACTAGGAAACATTGTACTTTATTACTTTGCTTATAAAAGGAACTGATTTTTTGAAGTAATAATTTTTAATTTTAACTTATTCAAGAAGTTGATGGTCACATCTTCTTTTTTTTTTTTTTTTTTTTTTTTTTTTTTTGAGACAAATTCTCACTCTGTTTCCCAAGCTAGAGTGCAGTGGCGCAATCTCAGCTTAATGCCGCCTCCACCTCCCGGGTTCAAGAGATTCTCCTGCCTCAGCCTCCCAAGTAGCTGGGACTACAGGTGCACATCATCATGCCCGGCTAATTTTTATATTTTTAGTAGAAACAGGTTTTCACTATGTTGGCCAGGCTGGTCTTGAACTCCTGACCTTGTGATCTGCCTGCCTCAGCCTCCCAAAGTGCTGGGATTACACATGTAAGCCACTGTGCCCGGCCATCTCTCAAGTCTTTACCAACAAGGTGCAGGGAAGGAACCCACTGCTTCAGTAATTTAATGCCACTCTGGCTCCTTCCCAGATAACAAGCACTCATTACTTCACCTCATCTGGAAAGGCTGGCGATTCCACACTTGGACATCTGACTTAAATAAGCCTATCAGGGTCTATGACAAGACAGGCATCTCATGCCACCTAGACTTTTGCCAATAACTCTAAATTAGCTTGGAATCAGTACAGACCTAACAATACATTTCCCGCTGAAATGTATTTTGAATATGTAAGCTTTCTAGTTTTTGAGATATTTTTTCTGTTGCCATACATAAATATATTATAAATTATGACTATTCTTTTACAGGACAGACATCAGAACACACACATATGATTTTCTAAGTGTAACTGAGGTCAGACAAAACAGTTTGTTTCAGTATCTATTTATCATGAAATAGTTTCATTGCTTTATGGCATTCAGCATAAATTCATCTCATCCTATCCTCAAAGCTAAACTTCGAAAATTCTACTATCCAGAAATTTTCAACTACTATTTTATTTTAACTGGCATTATTAGTTATTATAATGAAATTTTGCAAATAATAGATCCAAACATCTGAATCCACTCTATTTAAAAAGCTTTTATAATAAGATTTAAATGCATCTTTTGTATTTTAAAGACTACTAAAATGCTTTGCAAACTTAAAAGAGATATATCTTGAGGTTCTATGTATACTTGCAAGGAAGCACATTTTGAAAAAAGAAATCTTTTCTGAATGAGGAAAACATTTTCAAACTTTTGTATCACCTCCACACCAACAGTACTAAGATGTGCAGAAGTCTGTTGATATTCTCACCAGGGGCTCCCCTATTGAAAACAAAAGATTGTGAGAACATAGCTGCCTTAAATGCCCTAATTAATGTTTCAACATTAATTAGCTACAGCAATGTTGATGCTAAGCAAATGGTTTTTCCAACGGTGCAAATGAAGATGTATGCATGTGTACTGAGTATATGTACCTTGCAACAGATGATTATTATTTTATAAAATATCAACCTCCTCTCCCCCACACCTCCATCCTCCCTGCCTTTGCTTGGGTTTTCTAGGCACACTGTGTATCCTACAGAGCTGGAAGGGAAGAGCCAGGTGTATATGATTAGGAGAGGAGAGCCAAGTGGCTTGCTTAAAGTTAATTAGTGACAAAATTAAGAAAATAATCCAGAGTCCTGCTTCCAAGTCTCCTACCCTAGCTTCAAAAATTATCTTCTGCTTTTATATTCAAAGTGCATTTGGAATGCTATTCTTAAATACTTGGTTTTTAATCAAGTTTTCATAGGACATGAAGGAGAGATAAAACACAAGCAATCCTTTCTTATTGAATTAATTTGATTTTTGTCTTTTGCACTCCCAGCTATCAAAACTGTCGAATAAACTGGTTTTGATTCATAAATAATAGTTCCATTATATCTACTGTGCCACTCGTCAGAGCACCTGAAATTTTAATTCACTTGTTCAGCTAAATTTCATCCTCAGTTCATGGCCATAAAACTCTTTATTGACAAACTTTCAAACCAACTTTGACTCTGAGGTATCTAGTCAACATTTTTCTTCTGTGTGGATATTAGTTTATTGAATAAGTGGCATCTGTTTTCCTCCACATCACTAGCAGGGTAGGTATTTCCTTTTGACAGCTTTGCAGGATTTATGGGTTTGCATGCTCTGAAGAAAAATAGTACTAAGCAAAAAATTCCAATTCATTACCTCTTGGTACTTAATTAAGTTCATACCCACGGCACACTGGAGGTGAACCCTGAAATGACTGTGACAGCAGCAGAGCAGCCAGCTATATTATCTTTGGAAGACAGAGAGGATTCTAATTATCCTGACCTCATTTTTCCATCTATGATATTCATAAACGTTCCTTCTATTTCTCTCCCTTTTAGGCTTGGACAGAACTGTTTGGAAGGCAAGTGCAGATTCCCCTCTGCAGCCACCACCCTGTCCGTGCAGCCCTTACATGCAAGAAAGTCAAGCAGTGGTCTCATATTTCTCTCTGACCTTCCAGAATGCAGGCCTGCTTATCACAGGGCTTCCCCTGTGGAGGCACTCAGAAGTTGGCAAGAAGGCGAGCAGTGGGTCTCACTAAGCAAACACAGTCAGCAGTGAGTCAGGGTTACCTGTCAGGGTTCTGCGTGCACACGTGCATCTGTAAGAGGATCCGCTGGGTGAAAGTCTTAAAGCACTGCCCACATTTCCAAAGATGCCAGTCACTGAACTCCGAGTGGAGCTGGCTTGTGGAAGTCGGACTTGCAAGGACTCGCTGGTTTTTCACGTTGATCTGATTAAATCCTGATTCAATGGGCCCAGACTTATCCAGGAGAGAGAAGTTCCTGCTGCACGGAGTCTGGGGGAAAACAACGGAGCGCTGCTGGGTGGCAGGGGCGAGTTTGCTGCTCTTGTTGAAGGGCTGCAGGGCGTCTTGTCTGCACATGGCTTCCATTACCGTTGAAGGGACATTTACTAGGAGAATAGCAATAGTTTAGAAGATCAGATTTACTAGCCTTTAAAATAAGCACAGTAACACATACTTTCAAAAAATCAAATAAATTAACATTTCAAAAATTTGTGTTTCTGGATTCAGAATTAACATAATAAAAATCTGATTTGAGGGGAAAAACTATTATCACAAATTAATAACTCACCCAATTCCTATTTATTAAGCAACTACTATATGCTCAGGATTGTTTTGCATGGTCTTTGCCCTCATGGAGTTCACTTACGACTTGAGACCTACATAAGTCCATGATAAGGCCCCACACTGCACCTATCCCTGGAGGAAGTTGAGATGGGAGGCACAGCAAGGGAGAGGGAGTGGGCAGGAGATGCTGCCCAAAGAGGGTAGCCCAGAGCAGCGCAGAGAAAGTGGATTCGGCTTGACTCCTGGAGAATTTCAGGCTTTCCTCCAGCACAGAATAGGTATCACAGGATTGGCAGCACAGGTTAGGTATCCAGGAAAAGCTATTTGAAGAGATGAAGGGAACAAGATGAAAGACACCTGGAGGCAGGAGAAGTCTCGCATGCAGGTGGGATAGAAAGGAGACGGCTGACTGAGCAGGGCAAAGGATCGGGGCACTCTAGAAACAAGGATTGGGAGTCAGAATGAGACCTCAGAGGGCCTTAAAAGTCCAAACAAATAAATAAGAGACTTCAGACCGAAGTAATAGACACAGACCATTTGTGAGCAGAGGAATAGCAAGAAAAATAGAATTAGTGTTTAGGAAGGAATTAAGAGAGACCTGATTTACAGATGGGATGCAAGTGAATAAGGAAAGAGAAGGAGGCAACCGAGTGTGGTGCTTGTGACTCAAGCCTTAGAATCAGAAAGAACCTAGGTTCAAATCCTGCCTCTGCCTCTTACTAGTTTGGTGATCTTAGGCAAACTATTCAATAGCTCCGGGCTGCAGTTACTCCATCTGCAAAATGAGGACAGTGGCACTAATGCTTCTAAGAATAATGGCAGTATGGTGTGGTGGTTGAGGTGGCTGAGGTTTTAACTCCACTATTTACTACCCTTGGGCAAGTACAGAACATCTAAATCCATGATTTGGTCCTGGGTATCATGTGAAATAGTCATTATAAGGACTGAATGAGATAATAAAGAGACAGCATTCAGTAAAGAGCTTGACCTATGGTTGACACTCAATAGATGTTCAGCCCTATGAGCCTTAGCATCCTCATCTTTAAAGTCCCCTTCTACGAGATTTAAATATGTCAATGAAAGTACTTATCACAGAGCCTACCATGAACAGCAACCACCATTCTTATTATTATAGAAAGAGAAGCGACAGGTGTGAGGGAGACGGCCCTAAACTCGGCTGGTGGCAGTGGAAGTCGGGAGAGAACGAGAAGAAATACTTTGGTGGAGGATAATCTAATAATATATCTAGAATTTGTTGTTCTTTTTATTAAGACAATAGTGAGTTAATAATATTGATAAACTATTTACTGATCATTCCATAGGTCCAGAAGTGATTTAGAACCTAATAGGCTTAAAATTTCTTTTTTTATTTTTTAAAGTAACTACTATATCTATGGGTCATTTCAAGGCTCAGAGAGATTAAAGTTACAGGGTGGTTAAGAGAATGAAATTAGAGACCAAAAATTTTGAAAAGGATGATTGGCAAAAGATTGTGATAGCAAGTAACAAAATAATGCAGACTATGGCCACTGGTTCAAGGCCCCATGGAAGGAAATGCATGACCTGGGAGCACTTCTCATGCCCCACCACAGACCATCACTGAGGATGCTATGAAGACACAGGCATCTGTGGCACGAAGATGCAGGCATCCTCCAAGGGTAGGGACTGTGACCGCCATGGAGCTCTGTGCTTCAGTGGACATGGAGGTGCCATGTGTGGGCACAGAATGGGGTAGGTGTGCTGCCTAAACACTCTTCAACTCAGAACGTTCTGTAGAATAACACGTGTTAAGCAAATTCAACGAGAGGAGTAGCTCTGTCTGCAGGGCTCTGTCTGCATAGCCCACACTGTCTTAGGAAAGAAAAGTAAAGCAAGAGACTTGCAGACCTAGAAAGTGCCTAAAGCTTGTCTAGTTGGCAGTTCCTAACCTTGGCTGATTCACATTAGACTCACACACGAGAATCTTTAAAAACTACATTATAGTCTCTCAATAGGGCCTGGGCATCTGCATTTTTTAAAGTTCCGCAATTGCTTCTAAACTGAAATCAGGGCTGAGAATTGCTGATCTAATGCTACCTTCTCCGGGTTACAGAACACAAAAGCCGAGTCCCAAGAAGGTCCAGTAACTTGCCCAGGGTCACACATTCAGTTAAGGACACATCTAGGTGGCAAGTTTCGGCTTTCTGAATTATAAATCAGAATTTGTTTTCTTCTGACCACTCATAGCATCTCTGTTCAATAGCTGTATTTCAAAATTCAAAGGATATTTTTACAGCTAGTACATTGTTTTGTGTGTATTATCATGTTATATATACTTAAGTTACATATACTTACATTATACATATACTTATATACACCTACATATGTATGTATGTATGTCTTTATATACAATTATTTATGTATATTTGAAATTCTGGGGCAAAAGTATATAATCAGTATAGAATTTGTGAATAGTTTTTATACTTAATATTTTAAGGCACACACATTGTTACTTTTTAAATAGGCACTGAAAGACAAGAAGGAATGTTTTGCCATGTTTTGGCTTTTTAAAAAAAATAAAACATAAAAACAGCAGCACTGTCAGAGATCAGGGTAGAACCATCTTGTTTGGCCATTTCACTGCTAATCCACAAGAAGCAAAGCACAGGGAAGCCCACAAGGTTATCGGCAACACTAAGCTTTTTCAGGCCAGGCAATTTCAGACTAACGGGAAGGAATGCATGGTAAGAAAACTGTAGAATGAAGATGTCATCAGCACACAGAACAGCGGAAAACACTGGCCAGCCACTTCACTGTAGGAAAGGAATAAAATGCCTTTGAGGGGAAATAATACAAATAATACTCTTAAGTGTAAATGATAGATTCTGAATTCTGACTTACACTCCTAGAAAGTAACCTAATTGATAATTCTAAAAAATTGTTAAGGTCACATAACGTTTATATTAAAACAAAAGAATGTGTGGGTGACAGGGAAGTAGGGATGAAGAGAGATTGATTAATGGGTGGAAATTTACAGTTTGGTAGGAAAAATCAGACCCAGTGTTTGGTAGATCAGTAGGGTAATGATAGTTTACAATGCTCTACTGTATATTATCACACCACTGCACTCCAGCCTGGGCAACAAAGCAAGACCCTATCACTTAAAAAAAAAAAATTAAAGCAGAACATTTTAGAAGGCACACAAGATGATTCTTCCTAAATATCAGCCTCACTGACTATGGCCATCAAAGGTGTAAACTAAACACAGGAAATTTTCAGAGAAAGGATGGGAAATTTCAGCCCAACACAAGAAAGACAACATAGACAACTGCAAAAGGTGCAGAGGTGGCTTATTAAAATGACCAAAAAGATGAAGTGGTTTCTGCATGAAGCAATATTGAGCTAGTCAATTTCTTTGGTCTGGAAATGCAAAGATTAAAGGGAAGAGGGCAAACTCCCTAAGCTTGAAGGTTACAGTCAAGAACATGAACTCATGAAATCTGAACAGTTAAAATATCGAGAGAGGCAATTTCGGGATCCATAAAACAAAGTTCAACTTTACCCCTTCCTCATTCATTCATTCAGTCCACAAATAGTTGCTGAGCATCTATTACATGCCTGACCCTGTGCTAGGCACCATGGATACAGGGGGACCAAGAAAGCCACAGTACCTGCCCTCTGGCACATAAACTCTATTGGGAAAGACAGATATTAAGCTGATGTTTCTACAGATACATATTTACTCAGTTTCATCAAATCTAATATTCCACTAATTTCACCATTATAATTGTAAGTCACCATTAATTGCAAGACACCTGCCAGTTTCAGAAAGATTAAAATGTAAAAAGAAAACCCATACATTTTAGAATTAACAAAATACAGTTATGACAAGTGTGGTAAGTGCTGTTAGAGAAAAGGATGTCAGGAAATGATAAATCAGGGATGGCTGAACTTGGGGTACGAGCAAATCTGAGTCCTGAGGGGTACACAGATATCACACAAGTGCAAAGGGAGGAAAAGGCGATGCAAGAAGATGGAACATTGGCAGCTTTGCCAGAGTTTTGTGCCATGCTGAGGTAGGAAGGAGCTCAGGGCACTAAAGGAATGGAAAAAAAAGTCAATGTGGCCGGAGAGAGAAGGGGAGACGGGCTGCAGCTGAGGCTGGAGAGGAAGGTAACACAATCACCAATTCCTGTGGGAGCTAGACAGGCCACAGAACTATGTGATGGGGGTGATGAGAGGCAGGCTAACACAACAGAGGATGGTGGGGTCGGTAACGTCCTGAACAGGGCATAGCTAGTCTAGAGATGTTTGGAATCTAATATTGTAAAATACTTTATGGACCATAGAAACGTTTCTGGACACTCTATATGACCCACAGGCAAAGAGCAATGGCAAGCCAAAAAAGGATTTTAAGCTTGGGTGTCAGATGATCAGATTTACGCTTTTTTAATTTTTTGAGATGAAGTCTCACTCTGTCACTCAGGCTGGAGTGCAGTGGGGTGATCTTGGCTTACTGTAATCTCTGGTTCCCAAGTTCAAGCGATTCTCCTGCCTCAGCCTCCTGAGTAGCTAGGACTACAGGCGTGCGCCACCATGCCCTTCTAATTTATGTATTTTTGGAAGAGATGGGGTTTCACTATGTTGGCCAGGCTGGTCTCGAACTCCTGATCTCATGATCTGCCTCCCTCAGCCTCCCAAAGTGCTGTGATTCAGGTGTGAGCCACCGCACCTGGCCAGATTTATGCTTTAAAGGCATCATTACTCTGTATCCATAAATAAAGAAACAAAATACAGAACAATGTATACAGTGTGCTACATATACATGTGGGAGAATGACAGC